AATCACCACGCAATTGCCGAACTAGCAAGGAAACACCGCACAATAGCCGTACTAGCAGGAAACAGTCTACCGCCAACAGATACTCCATCTTAGAAACAGTAGAGTTGATGAAGCTCCGTCTTGAAGCAGTCGGAGTACAAAGAGTTGTAGATGTAATTATGTTCATGAACTGTAGATTTGATAACGAGAGGAATGTCGTTAAAATAATTCATTTGAAGCGTCCTCCCTCATTCACTCATATCCCTCCCTCATACACTCATATCCCTCTCTCATTCCCTCATATCCTTCTCCCATTCACTCATATCCCTCCCTCATTCACTCATATCCCTCCCTCATTCACTCATATCCCTCCCTCATTCACTCATATCCCTCCCTCATTCACTCATATCCCTCCTTCATTCACTCATATCCCTCCCTCATTCACTCATATCCCTCTCTCATTCACTCATATCTCTTCCTCATTCACTCATATCCCTCCTTCATTCACTCATATCCCTTCCTCATTCACTCATATCCCTTCTTCATTCATTCATATCCTTCCCTCATTCACTCATATCCCTCCCTCATTCACTCATATCCCTCCTTCATTCACTCATATTCCTTCTTCATTCACTGGAACAATTACTGACGAGTACTCTGGGTGGAATTGCTGATAACCACTCTGGAATTACTGATAACCACTCTGGAATTACTGATAACCACTCTGGAATTACTGATAACCACTCTGGAATTACTGATAATTCACCACTCTGGAATTGCTGATAACCCTTCCTCATTCTCTGGAATTACTGATAACCACTCTGGAATTACTGATAACCACTCTGGAATTACTGATAACCACTCTGGAATTACTGATAACCACTCTGGAATTGCTGATAACCACTCTGGAATTACTGATAACCACTCTGGAATTACTGATAACCCACTCTGGAATTACTGATAACCACTCTGGAATTACTGATAACCACTCTGGAATTACTGATAACCACTCTGGAATTGCTGATAATTTAGCCACAAAGTCGATAGCTAAGAGAGGGGGGGGGAATATCTGATAATAAACTGAACTGTAAACTAATGCCATCTCCTAATTGACCTTTGACCTTCGTTGGGAGTAACCCCTCAAGCGGGACTCAGAACAAACGCTTGAAGGAATATCGTAAAAAAAAAAGAATAATGAAATGAGATTTTTAAGGCTGTGGTTAATTAGAAGAGAGAATGAGTGGGTTCTTATTTTTGAGTGCTTGTCTTGCACAACCCTTAAGACTCTCCATGACAAAACTAAATCAATCTCTCTCTCTCTCTCTCTCTCTCTCTCTCTCTCTCTCTCTCTCTCTCTCTCTCTCTCTCTCTCTCTCTCTCTCTCTCTCTCTCTCTCTCTCTCTCTCTCTCTCTCTTTAAAAAAACCAGAATAATTAAGCAGAACAAATAGTCGTAGTTAATGAGATACGGACTTTCTTGACAACTCTCATCCTTAAAACGTATAGAGCGATGGAATTCTGCCTCAGAGAAACTCAAACATACTTTAATGGAATGGCTTTTTTTCGTTTTTTTTGGTCAACAAACTTCCTCTCGGCTCATTATCATTTGAGTGTTTGGTTGAAAGAGTTTTCAGGAAAAATTAGACTGGTGAGATCCACCATCAGCGTGGGTGGTTTTTATGTCTCAAAGTGAAGAAAATGTACAAAGAAACATTGAGTGAAGGAAGTTTTAGGATAGAGGCTTTCGTGTAGGGGTGGCGTGTAGGGGGTGGCGTGTAGGGGTGGTGTGTAGGGGTGGCGTGTAGGGGTGGTGTGTAGGGGTGGCGTGTAGGGGTGGCGTGTAGGGGTGGCGTGTAGGGGTGGCGTGTAGGGGTGGCGTGTAGGGGTGGTGGTGGTGTTGGTATTTTGTATTTGTTATATTGAGGTGTTTTGCTCTCTCTGTCTCTCTCTCTCTCTCTCTCTCTCTCTCTCTCTCTCTCTCTCTCTCTCTCTCTCTCTCTCTCCCTCTCTCTCTCCCTCTCTCTCTCTCTCTCTCTCTCCCTCTCTCTCTCTCTCTCTCTCTCTCTCTCTCTCGAAATACATCTCACATAAATTTCGAAATTAGTTTAGCACAGCACGACACCACCGTATTAACAAACAGAGTGCACTTGTTGACCCAACGCCACACATCCACACCTGTCAACACACAGAAGAGATGCTGCTGATTTTTGTCTGCATTATGTAAAATAAAATACAAATTTGCTTGCAACCATTTAACCCCACAATATGTTCCTCTGCTAAGAAGAGGAGACCACCAAACAAGATATAGGACAAACAAATCAATGTTTTCTTTGCTCAAAGAGAGAAATAGGCATCTGGCGTATCTTTTCTTTGATCTGTCACCTTGAAATACACAAGTGACTGGTAACCAATACACTCTGTCACTTCAGCCAATCAAAAATCTTCTATACGTATGAATGGCTAATCGTGTAAAATAGGATTAAAAATATATCCAATCATATCGCATTGCTACAGATAAATGGACAGAGAAAAAGCGGGGAATTCTAACTTGCAAATTTCAAAGAAAAATAGCTAATGGCGTGGATATAATAATAATAATAATAATAATAATAATAATAATAATAATAATAATAATAATAATAATAATAATAAACTGAAACGTGTTTGGGAACGTGTAAACGTTGCCTCCATTTGTTTATTTTTTTGGTTTTGTCTACTGAGTTGTCCATTCAGAGTTGCGAATTCCAATTAACCCGAGTCCTGTTACTTTCGTATTCCGTTTCTGCGTCTTACGAAGCATTATATCACGAAACACCAACAACTCTCCCGGAACATAAACAACCCCCCCCCCCTAAGGAACACGGAACATCAATAACCCAGGAAGCATCAATAATCCAACAGAAACACCAACTGTCCACACACACACACACACACACACACACACACACACACACAGATCTAGGAGTTGATATCACACCAAACCTGTCTCCTGAAGCCCACATAAAGAGAATAACGTCTGCGGCATATGCGAGGCTGGCTAACATCAGAACGGCGTTCAGGAACCTGTGTAAGGAATCATTCAGAATCTTGTACACCACATATGTAAGACCAATCCTGGAGTATGCGGCCCCAGCATGGAGCCCGTACCTTGTCAAGCACAAGACGAAGCTGGAAAAAGTCCAAAGGTATGCTACTAGACTAGTCCCAGAACTAAGAGGCATGAGTTATGAGGAAAGGCTGCGGGAAATGCACCTCACGACACTGGAAGACAGAAGAGTAAGGGGGGACATGATCACAACCTACAAAATCCTCAGGGGAATCGACCGGGTAAACAAGGACGAACTTTTCAACACTGGTGGGACGCGAACAAGGGGACACAGGTGGAAGCTGAGTACCCAAATGAGCCACAGAGACGTTAGAAAGAACTTTTTCAGTGTCAGAGTAGTTAGCAAATGGAATGCATTAGGAAGTGATGTGGTGGAGGCTGACTCCATTCACAGTTTCAAATGTAGATATGATAGAGCCCAATAGGCTCAGGAATCTGTACACCAGTTGATTGACGGTTGAGAGGCGGGACCAAAGAGCCAGAGCTCAACCCCCGCAAGCACAATTAGGTGAGTACAATTAGGTGAGTACACACACACAATCACCTATTGATTGACAGTTGAGAGGCGGGACCAAAGAGCCAGAGCTCAACCCCCGCAAGCACAATTAGGGGAGTACAATTAGGTGAGTACCTATGGAACACCATGAGTAACACGGAACAACACAACCCACACGAAACACAACGATTCATACGCAATGTTTCGAAGCCCCACTAAACATGAAGCTGACTGAGGGTCTGTCAGCATGGTAGGGGTTGAGGAGGGGGGGTGAGGCCTTCTTAGGGAGGGGGAGTCGAGAAGGAAGGAAAGCAACTTAGTGGGAAGACGAAGAAAAAGAAAACTGTGAGTGGGTGAGAGAGAAAACTGGAAGGAAAGAGAGGGAAAATGGAGGTAGAGACACGTGGAGACGTAATGTAGATAATGAGGAGAAGGAGAAGAAGGTGGGAATGAGAAGAATGGACCGAAAGACTGAGTGATGGAAAGTGGAAGAGATACAGAGGACAAGAAGAGAATTTTAAACAAAGCCTTATGAAGGATTAAAAGAAGTGAAGGGAGATCGATTAAGGAATAGTTCTTCAATGGCAAACACGCGACTCTGAACAAGAACTTCCAAGACAATCATCAAAGCGAGAATTAGCAACATAAAATAAATATCCTTATTGCGAAATTACTTTCCTGTCTTCGCTACAGCAGACGACAAGAGGCAACAGGCCACACACGAGGGAAAACAGGAGGAGGAGGAGGAGGAGGAGAAGGAATAGGAGAAGGAAGAGGAGAAGGAGAAGCCAGGACCCCTCTCCAACATGAGACACCAGAACCCTTCACTGATTAACAAGAGAACCTTGTCCCTTGATCCGATGCCCCCTCGAGGCCCAATAAGAGATGCTGGTGAAGGAGATCCACAAAGAAGGTCCAGACCTTAGAAACAAAGACCTTAGAAAGGTCATTAAAGATCCGACTGTATTTTAAAATCCAACAAGAAGCACCTCACTCTTAGTTGCAGAAGACAAGAGAACCGCTTTTAACAAAATAATGCTTGTAGCCTCTGTGTGTGTGGGTGTGTGTGTGTGTGTGTGTGTGTGGGTGTGTGAGGAAAATTAATTTGGAGGCGCTTCTGGAGGGATCGTATACAAATTATTGCACTAATGAGCAGACCTCCTTAAATCACGGTAAAAGCCATCTGAGCTCCAGTAACTACAAATCATATCAGACCGCGAGGTTAAGAGGCCTGGGGGAAATAATATGCATAATGAAGAACGTGAGATAATGAGATTAGTCTAATCACTCATATTCACGTGAAGAACGAGACATACGTCATATCATCTAATAGAAAACGGTCACCAAAGAACAAGTTGCGTTCAGAAACACTAAAGATTACTCTTGTATACTGTATGCCTTAAGATATCTAACTTATCTTATGCCAGATACGTTATCCGCATCTGTTGGTTTTGGGGACCAGCCTCGCCAGCTAGAGACCTCAAATATTGTGGATAAAGGTAATATTAACTTTGATTATTGGCTGGAAGAGGTTTAATTTCAATAATATTTTAACTAAATATATGCAAAACGTAGACACATAAGTGTGATTACTTGCAAATACACTGTATACACCAGTCTACATACAAATATATACATATACACACACATACACACCCATACCCCACACACCCACTCTGACCCCCACCAAAGCATGCCTCAGTCACCTGTATCACTCACCTTAAAATCGCCCTAATCACTTACAGGTGCGGCGGGACAAATCCAGGTGTTCCGGGTGAGGCCAGAGAACGTGCAGGTGAGAGCTGGCGACGACGTCTTCCTCAAGTGTGTGGTGGAGAACCAGCAAGGCAAGGCCCAGTGGACCAAGGATGGCTTCGCTCTAGGCAAGTACACACTTCCCCCTCTCAGCGTGCACCACCTTCAACAACATAGTTTGAGGCGTAGTTTGCACAGGATATAGCGTATTCGAACACCACAGAGGTCCTTGACGCTAGATAACAAGATAACATCATACGTAGCGCGCGCGTACACACACACACACACACACACACACACACACACACACACACACACACACACACACACACACACACACACACACACACACACACACAACAATGCGATAACACTTCAAATGCTCCCCAAAAAGTGATGTATTGCCGTGATATTTAGACAAAAATCAGCATCAATCCTAAAGGAGCGCGGTTGCCCATTCAGCTCGTTCAGATAGACGAGATGAATGGTCACAGACAGACACGAGTAGCCAGGGACCAACACATCTCAACCACTCGAGCTGGACGGTAGAGCAACGGTCTCGCTTCATGCAGGTCGGCGTTCAGTCCACGACCGCCCAAGTGGTTGGACACCATTCCTTTCCTCCGGCCCATCCCAAATCCTTATCCTGAACCCTTCAAAGTGCTATATAGTCGTAATAACTTGGTGCTCTCCCCCTGATAAAGCCCTCTTTCCCCTCCATCACAAGATGGAAGGCAGAATCAGTTTACTGAGCGTGATCTTCAGTGTTCATCTTGCAATCACTCAGAGTCTTCCAAGAAGGTGAAAGGCACGTGACACTCTTTCAGTCACCTTCTCCTCAGAGTTATTTGATGAAGGAAGAGATTCAATGTATTCAGAAAGTATTTGTTTTGAAACTGGCGCGCAAAACTTTTCGCGGAAAAACTATCCACTTTAGTGCGAAAAGGGACGGTAGTGTGCGTGTGAGCGCGCGCGTCTCTCTCTCTCTCTCTCTCTCTCTCTCTCTCTCTCTCTCTCTCTCTCTCTCTCTCTCTCTCTCTCTCTCTCTCTCTCTCTCTCTCTCTCTCTCTCTCTCGAATAATAAAATAACTTGCACAAAGCCCCCCTGAGAGTTAATTACATGAGGCTGATTGACGAAAATGATGTGACAGAGGTGGTTGAGTGCTGCTGGGTAACGCTGCCGCCCCCAACACCGCACTGTACCGGGGGGGAGGGGGTAGTTATCTCCTGTGAACGCTCCCCCACCCCCCCCCCCCCCTCACCAACCAATTCACGCTAAGCCTTTGGTGTGTGTGTGAGGGGGGGGAAGTGGTGAGGGTTAGCGTGGCGGGTGTTAGATAGCGTGGCGGGTATTAGATAGCGTGGTGGGTGTTAGATAGCGTGGCGGGTGTTAGATATCGTGTTGGGTGTTAGATAGCGTGGTTGGGAATTGGGAATTGACAGGGGCTAACAAAACCGGCCTTGCGGCGTGGTAGCACACTAGCCCCCAGCATCGCGACCCCATTTCGTCTGGGTTCGAGTTCAACACGGGAGAGCATTGACCGAGTACCAGTTCTTAACTGCTCATCCAGCAGTAATTGGGAACCTGGTTGTTTACCAATTAACTGGCTGTATTCCAGGAAAAACTCCCTCGTGTAAGTGACCGAATCACTGAAACTGTTTTACCTGATTAACCTGAGGGGCCATTAACCCTAGTGGCCTCGACGAGGACAGGAAGTCGGCGGTTTGTCAAAGGTTTTAAATGGAATAAAGATTCTTAGGCTAACCCAGCCTTACCGCCGCCATCTAAGCCCTCTGTATCGAGGGTCAACATCTCTTTAGTTACAGTTTTGTAATCTATTTGAACTCAAGACTGTATCAGATTGACCATCTCTACCAGGAGAGGCGGAAACAGCACTTCCTAGTACCATGCGAATTTGTTGTTTGTTATTTTAGATTTAGCTACTCAGAACGAAGTGTCAATGTAGCACGGGCTATGGTGAGCCCGTAGTTGAGTTCGGTTATTCGCGATAACCTTGTTACTGTGATATTTGGGTCAAATGGAGGTGGGGATTCCTCCGTTTTCCCGGTTTATTTTTCGCTTCTGTTTTAGTGCACTGGTTTTAGTCTCTTTAAATAACACCTTGCGAAGTCACCCGGTTCCAAAATACTATCCGTGCCATCCCGCCCCAAGAATGATGATGATTAAGCAACTCTCTGACGCAAAATACAGTGTCTGAAGCCAAGGTGATCGTCATGAGGTCCTCCCTCTGTTAGATATTTACACTGGGGGTTTTATCCCCCCCCCTGGTGGTGCCCTGGTGGTTCCCTGGTGGTGCCCTAGTGGTGCTCTGGTGGTGCCCTGGTGGTTCCCTGGTGGTGCCCTAGTGGTGCTCTGGTGGTGCCCTGGTGGTGCCCTGGTGGTGCCCTAGTGGTGCTCTGGTGGTGCTCTGGTGGTGCCCTGGTGGTGCCCTTGCGGTGCCCTGGTGGTCCCTTGGTGGTGCCTTGGCGGTGCCCTGGTGGTGCCCTGGTGGTGCCCTGGTGGGGACGTCACTGGTGGGGAGGTCTTATCTATACCCGGACATTATTTTATATATATAATTATAAAACTAGAGGCACAAGATTATTACTTGCTGAGCTAAATGAATTTTGGGATTCAGTTGGTGAGCCCATGTTAAGCCTGTGCCACCCGTGGGACGGGTATGGGGGGGGGAGCATAATAATTGAACAAAATCAAGTAAGACTTACCAATAAACAATGAGAAAGGGAAACGCTCTAAGCCTGTTAATAGGAGTCAGAAGATGTCTACTCCTATATCCTCCTGTGTAAACAAAAGCCAGTTCGTGGCTCCACACAGCCAAAGACAGAATACTTCAGCCCGTCCTCATCAACAAATGCTCTCTGATTCCATCTACCTTCCCTCCCCCCCTCCCCCCCCCCTCACCCCCACCCTCACCCCCTCTCTTTGAATGAGAAACAGTTCACACACGACTCACAACTGATGACGTTCGAACATTTATCGAACAGGGCTTCGCTGACGTTCGAACTCCGTGAATGATTCACCCACATACTTGAAACACAAATAATTGTCACTAAACCTAAACGCCTAACCTATACCTATGCCTAACTCTTAATATATAAGAATATTAATTTATATATATATGAAAAATAATCCTTAATACACAATTCATTAAAATTAATAAATGCGCCTTGGGTGCCGGCCGCCGCTTTAACGAGCCTAACCCTGAGGATCGCCAGGTTAAAATAACAATTAAGCGGCCTAATTAACGGTCCACATGAGGGCTTTATCCCGAGCCACTCTGGGGTAAACGGTCAATGATTTCGTGTTTGTTGTTTGAAATAAGATAAATGAGATCACATTATATTGTAATGATTGTATTTGCATATATAAAGCATATTCATGCTGGGCTTTGATTAAAAAAAAAACAGGGGTATTTATTTACCAAAGTGCTTGTATGAATTTATCAATATATATATATACACACATGATTAAAGTAAATTATGACAGCTGGTGTATAATTTTGCATGTTCGTGAACATACGTGCATGTTTATATGCATTCTTGCATGTAAATATACAGTATATAAGTATATGTATAACTCCATCAGTGAACAGGATATCTCACCTTTCTTCAACTTATTCGTTATCATTCTCTGGATAACGCGAGAGGCAATGAAACACGCCACCGTTTTGATAGCATATTTTAACACACTGAGAGACAGCCAGCCAGTCAACCAACTAATCACCCAGGCAACCAGCCAACTAACCAATCAGTCAGCCAACCAAGTAAACATTCGATCAACCAGCAAGCCAGTCAACCAGCTGACCAATCTGACAGCCATATCCACCCAATCAACCAGCCAGCCCTCGTCTAAGTCTGAGTCCAAGACTCCTGGACAATACTAATGTGTGTGTGTGTTATAAGAACGGAAATATATATATAAAGAGAAAATGAGCGACACAGATATACAGGGCAAAAAAAGTGGATTTGGATTAGGGAACTTACCAGAGATGCCAAACGAACAAGGAAATAGAGAGAGAGAGAGAGAGAGAGGGAGAGAGAGAGAGGGGGGAGAGAGAGAGAGAGAGAGAGAGAGAGAGAGAGAGAGAGAGAGAGAGAGAGAGAGAGAGAGAGAGAGAGAGAGAGAGAGAGAGAGAGAGACCGATAATAATGAGTGACACGTGGATAATTACCAGTGATTGATAGAGCTTAACTGGCGGCCAAATTAACTGCCTGCTCTCTCTCCCATGTGATTTTTGTCGACCTTTTTTTCACGCATTTTACACATGAATACTAAATTGCTGTTTTATACACTGGCGTTTATTATTTGTCTGTTGAAGTGAGTCCCGGTCTGTTGGTTCTTTCTGTTGTAATGAGTCGCAGTCTGTTGTTTGTCTGTTGTAGTGATTTGTACACCGTTGTTTCTCGCTGTTGTAAAGGGATCACGCTGTGTTCTCTCTCTTTTGGAATAAGTCGATCGGGGTGTGTTCTTCAGGCAGTAATCAGTCGAGTAGAGTTGAGTAGAGTAGAGTAGAGAGTAGAGCTCTCTCTTCATATCAGCAAAATTCATTCATTTTTCAGGGACTTAATGAAGAATTAAGATCGACCTTAGAGAAAAATATGTGTGTACGTGTGTGAGTATTCACCTAGTTGTGCTTGCGGGGGTTGAGCTCTGGTCTTTCGGCCCGCCTCTCAACTGTCAGTCAACTGTTACTAACTACTAAATTTTATTTTCACTCACACACACACCCACACCCAGGAAGCAGCCCGTAACAGCTGGCTAACTCCCAGATACCTGTTTACTGCTATGTAACAGGGGCATCAGGGTGAAAGAAACTCTGCTCATTTGTCTCTGCCTAGTCCGGTAATCGAACCCGTGCCACAGGATTACGAGTCCCGCGCGCTGTCCACTCAGCTACCTGACCCCTTTTCGAGTAGAGTTCTGTGTGTGTGTGTGTGTGTGTGTGTGTGTGTGTGTGTGTGTGTGTGTGTGTGTGTGTGTATGTGTGCGTGTGTATGTGTGCTTGCCTATCAGTCTTTATTTGTTTCTTTGGGATTTTCAGGAGGGTGGGGGGGCGGGACAAGCTAGCTAGTTCTATAAACCTTGCAAATAGCAATTTATATAATG